GGGTCTTTTAGGTATGGTAACAAATTCATGTACATAATTGCTGCTTATGTTGATTGTTAATAAATTCTGGTCAAATCACACCCACACAGTCCTGGTGAGGCAGATTAGTTAATTTATAAAAATTTAAAAAATTAGTTGGAGTTTTTACCCATACTCTACCCATTGGTTCTCAAGGTTATTGAGACAGGTTGTAAACAAGCTGACATAATGGTCAAACTTGTTTCAACAAAAAAATGAAGGCAAACAGTAACAACCCAAACTGTCAAACATTCATTATATTTGACAGACTGACTGTCATACTAGCCATAGTTGTGCACGCTCACAGTTTTGCTGTGCAAGAGGGATTTTTTGTCTTATATCCAAATAAAGTGGTTTAGATTGTCTTGCTAAACTGTACAACTTGTGTTGAGTACTGTACTTTTGTGCATTTAATGCTATGTTATATGCTATTTCATTTCACAGGCAGACACTATATTACTTTGCCGTCCTCTATATTTATTTGAAAATCATTGTCACTAGTTAACTTGCAAATTAAGATTTTACATACAAAACACATGCTATTCAGTAGATTAAACTTCCCAACACATTTAAAGTCGTTAAAATGGCTGCTTACACAGTAATGCATCAAAGATCAAATAATGTTAAATATAATAATTTAACATCGACAGACGCCACTCTGTGTGAGTGCTTTTGATGTTTTAATAAACATTAAGCTGGCAATGCTTACTTTTAGTTGAGTAAGATTTTGAATGCTAGACTCTTACCAGTAATGTATTATTTGGATTGTAGTGTAACTATTACAAAGGATGTGATTCTTTCCTCCACCACTGCAGGACTATAAGTATGTTGGTGTAATTCCTGTCCAGAAAAAAAGTGTCTTGATAAAAAGTAAATTAATAAATAAAATCAATCTTTTCCTAGTCAACTATGATTATCCTGTCCAGAAAAAAGTGTCTTGATAAAAAAGTAAATTAATAAATAAAATCAATCTTTTCCCAGTCAACTATGATTACACTACACTTTGCTGGCCATCAGTTTTTTTTTGGTTTCTGAATTATTTTGTCTAATTGACCTAAATGCTCACCTTGTCAATAATTAGAAGGCCATCATTTAAATGTACCTTCTGCAGGCCTCTAATAGAGCTCTCCTACTGAGTTAAGGAGCTCTAATCAGCAATGTCAATGCTATAATTGCAGTACACAAAAGAGAAATACAGAGAGGTGTTTTAATTACAGGGAAAGGCAAAGTGCAATTTTCATCTCTGGCTGACAAATTGTGTTTGATTATGATGTATGTTAACTGCTGAACTGTTGTTGCTTATATGTTGTTTGGTAATTTTGATCTGACAACTTTTTCAAGCTGAAATGCCCCTTTATAGGTTGTTTTTGAGCAATAGATACATGCATGTATTTATACACACACACTCTTCATATGGATGTATAAACATATTACAAAACCACCATCTATTAACATATTTTGTTGTATCTCCACAGTGTTTTGATGCCCATTTCATAGACATAGTCATGAGAGTAAGTGGGTGAAATGATGCCACTGTATTTTGGCCATGTGCTTTGGCATGTTGCCAACCATCTCCGTGGGACTGGATGGATATCAGACAGTCGATTCATGGGGGGTTACCTGCTGAGAACAGACCAGGTGCAAACTCCACAGTAAAACCACAAGCTGTAGAGGTTTATTAAGCACTGCATAGTAATCCACCCTCTTCCCCTACCACCATCCCTCTGGACATGCCTGAAATGTGTAAATAAATAAAAGCTGATCCCACTGGCTTTATTAGTTTGCCAATATTTGGCAAGGTTTTACAATAGCTTTAGCAATTTAATTGAAGAAATGCTCATAAATGAGACATGTGGTGGGAAGAGATAGAATTATAGACCCACTAGTTAACGTGAATAAACTCCACATCATAATAAAGATGAACCTGTTATGTAATCAAATTGCTTTTCTTTAGAAATAAAGTATTTAATCCAAATCTTTGAGTACACTATGTCTCATAAGAATCCTTACAGAATCATTGATTTGACTTTTAAGGTTTTAGAATTGTGTAGTATGCGTGTGAATTTACTTATATTACTCACAATGTGTGGACTAAAAAAAGGTCTTTCCAGATTCATAATGCAGGGACTCACTTCCCATGTGTAGGCAAAAAGCTGGTCTGCCAAAGGTAAACCATGGCAATGTGTGCATGTGTGTATGTGTATACATGTGAGAAGAACTAAAGCTTTTGGCATCAAATGTTGTGCTCAATGAAATTCTCAGTGCGTGACATTGTATGCAAATATTTGAGTTTTTTCATCATGTTGATTATTGCAAAAACAAAAGTCAATGTCATGGCAGACGATGGACTGAGATGTGTTATCTGTGTACTCAGGCACAGAGTCTTCGCTCTCTCTCTCTCTCTCTCACACACATAAAGCGAGAGAGAAATCACAAGCCTCTTCCCTACACAAGCACATTGTCCATCATTTTGCCAAGATGCCAGTAAATAAACTCCAGTTTACTGACATGAAACAACATGAATGCCTTTTTTCCAGACATTGGGGACATCCTTTTTAATTCATCAGAGCAGGACAACCTAAATATTGCACTGGCAGAAATGTATGGTGTTTTAGTGAGGGGCCCAGAAAAGCAGTCATTATATTCCTCTCAGTGCAAAGATGCAGAAAGACATGGATAGAGAGAAAAGGGAGAGCTAGAGCCCTTTTGGGAATGTTAAACAATTCAGTAAATCAAGCATAAATATTTGTTTGCGTGCCTTAGTGCCAGTTTCAAAGGGATGTGAACATCCACCCACTGACATTGAAACGTTACAATACAACCTTTTTTTATATTCACAATATTGTGATTGGCAAAGCACTCTATGGTTCCACCATCTGTTCACCCTCTAATGAATATTGGTGAGATATGAAAAGCATACTAAATGAGGTCATGATATGTAAACCCTTGATTGATAGTGATTATGTCCTTCGTGTGCCACACAACCAAACTTGTTCATCACTTAGATAGACTGACTTAATTTTCATTCAGTCACTAAAATCTGTGCATGGAAAACAACAACTTTGAGTTTGACTCTTTTTGGTCTGTTACATAATTTAAATAAAACAGGGTGCCACCATTAGGCAAAGATGTATCAAATTTTTTATGTGCAATCCATGGTGCTGAAGACCTGGAGCAAACTCTTCCTCAGGAACACATCAGAGTTATCATAGATCCAGTCAGCGGGTAACCAGGTAGCACCACAACCAGACTTACTGTGGTTATCAGCATCACTGTATTAAATCTGTGCTGTCTCTTCAGACTACTTAGTCTTGAAAGCCCTTGCTCGCAAAACCATGGCAGTGTATTGAAGAGATAGCTTAGTTTAAAGGGATGGCAAACATAAAGCTAGGTGATTTATTTCAGAAGCATGTTTTGTTATATTTGTTGAAATTCTTACACACCCAACAGAACATAATAATTGGAATAATATATCTTCTTCACATGGAGGAGAAGGTGTAGCGTAATCACCTAACCTAAAAAGTTAAGCTCTAGTAATTAGCCAAAAGCCAAAAATGCAGCTGCCAAACTAATATTTGTCTCTCAACATTTTCATATCAACCCCCTGTGGATAATACTGTTGTGTGCTGGGACTTATACCAACACACCCAGTATTTACCAATGCATTTAATTTGACTTTTAAATTCTTCTCATTTTATAGCGCCCCTATCAGGTCAAATAAGGTGCAGAATCTCTTATTTTTCAATAATACAATGGATTACAATATTTAATGTGAACAAATCAATAAAATGTCACCATGAGTAGAATCATATTATGGACACTCATCAGTTTAACGTGTGCTTTTACAGTACAACATAGGATATTTAGCGTCTTCCTGTGGACCAGTTCTTTCCCCCTCCTCTCTCAGGCAGTAGAGCCACTGTAGGACTCCCACACAGGGCTCACTGCTCTAGCATCCGCCTCTGATCTCACCATATCCATGACGATTCGTGTCCGACTTTACACAGTGGCGCCCATCCTGCTTACCAGTGCGTGGAGCTACACGCGTGCATAGCTTCAAGAAATGTGCTGCGTGTAGGCTTCAGTGCATACTGCTCTGCTCCATGCATCCCGCTTCCAACCCGAAGCGCTGCATTGGCACCGCGCCTCTCAGAGCATTAAGCCATGCTTCTCGTTTTTGTCAGAGGCCTGGATGCGTGGAGATCGATGCGTGAGCAACTGTTGGTGCAGGGATGCAGGGAAGGAACCCCCCTTTGTGTTAAGTGAAAACGATAATGAGAGAGGGGGCAACATTCAGCACCATGGACAGAGTCAGATGGTGGTGGTGGTGGTGTTGTGTGTGATCGTGTTTGGGGGGGGGGGGTGTTACATTGAATTCGCAGATTTCAGTACCATGGCCAGAGTCAAAAACAACAATAGTGCGGGGTTTTTTGTCGTTTTTTTTTTGTTTGTTTTTTTTGAAGAAGAAGTGAGCAATCTGTTCTGTTCTCTCAGCTGTCCCGTGGGAAGCACCTGACAGTACTCACCAAAACTACAAGCTACAAGAACAGTTTCATCTCCCTTCTTCTGTATCTGCCTTGTGTGCAAGCTCACACCCATGCACAGAGGGACTGATGCCACTGTCAATCAATATTAATGTTTTGCAATTAACACAAAATAAATGTAGATATAATACTACTACTTATAGCCTAATAATAGACGCTATGATCTATATTGATCTGTATTGTCTCACATACACATTCCACTTTGTGAATGTTTGGTGCTGGTGGTCAGATTTACAATCTATTGATTCATGGAACTAAAGTAAAGTTGAATGCTCTATCTAATGCTCTGCCTCGCGCTCCTATTCATTTACACTAGAAGCTGCCCCGGACCAAACTTCAGCTGGAATCCCCCAAGTAGCCCTGCAAGAGCAGCGGGGTTAAGTGCCCTGGTCAGGGCCAGCTAGATGAGTTGGCTGACGGGTGTCTAAACAGCGAACGGAGAGAGACAACCCCACCCACATTTTCCACCTCGCTCCCGTGAATTCGAACCACCAACTTCCCCGTCACAGTTACCGCTTCTAAATCAGTCACTAGCTGTAAAGAAGCCACGGAGATCCCCCGTGTGCCCTCGAGTAACTTGTAATCTTGGTTCTCCTTTAAATTTTTCTCCGTGGCTGGGTACTACATCTGCCACTACCATCAGCAGCAGCAGCGCTGCTTCTTGATGTTGTGGTCGGGAATACGCATGCGCCCGGCATTGGAATTACTGCACTGGCAAGAATAAGTTGGACCTCGTCTGTCTTGACAAAAAGAAAAAAACACATAACATAAGTATGGCAGTGTTCAGAATAAGAAGAATGAGGTGTTTTTGCGTCTTGCTGTTCCCTCTCGTAGTGGCCGTGGCGTGCGCCCAAAGGTAAGTTAAGGGGTCGGAGGATGCTCCACTCCTTTTTACTAAGTGTGACTGTGTTACAGATGGCATGGAAAATACTTGAACTCTTTATGGATCAAGAATGTCTCGTATTTTACATCTGCTGTACACCCTTTCTCTCTTTTTTCTTCCATAGTGCCGGTGTCAGTGACCCTAGCAATATGTCTTTGGTTAAAGAAACGGTGGATAGACTGTTGAAAGGTTATGATATACGATTGAGGCCAGATTTCGGAGGTAAATGAACTCCTATTTTGTACTAACTATATTCGAGTTTGCCCAATGTCAGCCTGTATAATAGTACAGTGTTTAAAATACTACCTTATTCGCCGATAACTCAATTACGGTTTGCAATTTCGGAAAAGTAAAAGAGACGTTTCTGATCGGCTTCTCCCGGTGCCACAATCTGTGACATTTTATATGATACAGTCGAGGGAAAATGTGTCAGAACAAGCCAGAGTACCGACGACATAATGGGAGAACACATGAGTGATGTGGCTGAAGGATGAAATAGGACGATAAAATAGGCTACACCGGCTCATTTATTTGAATGCATGATCACTCCAAACGTGGCTGTCAACTCCCAGTGCATGTGCGATGAAATTTTAGACAGGGTTCCCATTTTTGTTTATTAATGTTCCAATATAGGTGTCCACTGCGACGGAAATACGTTTAGGGCTAGATGATTTAATACCAACAACTTTTAGGGGAATTACAAACACTTTCACCGTAGCTCAGCGCATCTAATCCTACCCGAAATGAACACTGTAAACTATTATCCGGCTGACAACAGCAAAATTCGCAAATGTTACCGCACACGTTATTAACCGTTTCGCACAATAAGTCAATGAATCATATAGGCTGCACCTGATGTACAGTGTTTCTATTGCTTACCGTTGTTTTGATCTGTTCAAGGTCCTCCGGTTGGAGTGGGAATGAATATAGACATAGCCAGCATAGACATGGTATCAGAAGTCAATATGGTAAGTTGGCCATTATCACCTCTCCTTTGACAATGGTTGACCATTCTGGTCTAATGAGCCCTGCCATGCAATAAATATACCAGGGGGAATACCCAACCAAACCACCGGGGAAACCCCTCTTAATGCACGTCTGTCTTTTCCCCCGTTCACTGGCATCGACTTGTGAGTTGGAGAGCTCAAAGGCAACGGTCGTTTTGTTTGAGAGTTGATGACATGTATTCAACCCTTCTGGGGTTTTGAAATTGATTGACACCGATGGATTCTTAGTTTTCGATCTCATAAACTGGATTTCTCTTAATTTGCGGAGCAAATACACATCCAAGCATCACTAACTAACACAAAATAAAATATAAAATAAAAATTCAATCACCTCTTTAACTTATATAAGGGAAGTTTTGTTATTAGTGCAAGTCCCGGCCCTGGCAATATTCCATTCTGAAATGCTTGATGAGAAATGTTAAAAATGAGAAATGATTGTCTATTATAGCTGGTTTATAAGTGCTTTACTACAAATTGTGACAGTGGAAGAACTTGCTGTGGGAGAAGTGGAGACTAAGTTTTGCTTCATACAAGTGCACCTCCTAGTGACGAGATATTAGATCTGCACCTCAGTTCACAGAGAAACTCAAGGCAGCATTTTATCATCTTGGAAGGTCACTCTTGACACCTGTAATACAGTTGACAAGGGGAGCAAAAATTGATATTTATGGTAATATGCATGAGATTTTGATAGGCCCATTGTCACCTGCCCCCCCCCCCCCCCTCTCTTTGTAACATTGTCTCTGTGTGGTTGACCTCTACTGTTGGAGGTTTTAATTTGCAACTCATTTACTCTTTGTACTGACGCATCCTGCTGTTACAGATGTTTTGGTATTATCAGCTGTGATATGAGTCATGTTGTGATGTCAGGGAGTGATTACACACTGGAATATTTTTGGCAGCAGCACCCAAAGTCTGTTCCGTATGTTGTTATCGTTGTGCTCCTGTATGATGCCACTTCTATTTGCGTGTATTTACCCAGAAGACCTGCACAACAATAGGCACATGTACGTGCACACTCACAAACTCACACATTCACAAGGTCTACAGAGCCCTCCACATTGGCCTTGAATTCTTAATTAAAGGCATGTTTTCCCTGTGTAACTGAGCTTGAAAGTGGCCTTACATTGTGTTTGTGCACGTGCATGTGCTTGTATAAATAGCACCTGCAAGTACAGTATGCACATTCCTGGGATGCATTTCCAGGAACCAGGAACACCAAATTATTATGTAAGATGTAATTTGTATCTGCATCCTAATCACCTTATGCATAAGCATTTCCCAGCAAATAGGAATGTGGCATTTTTTTTAATAGTAAATGACCAACAAATAGGCAACAGATAAATTCTGATATTTGGGGTATTTGTACTTTTTAGAAAGCATGGAGCAGAAAGTAAAATCCAAGAGAGAATGAGAAAGGAGGGCACAAGCAAGATATGTAGCCCTGGAGTATATGATATGCAGTAGTACATGTTTTACCACTGAGCCAACAGGACACTCCAAAGCTTGTTGTGCTTTGTTTACTATTTTCTCCACTGCTATCATCTCCCTGGGCCACAACTTTCAGGGGGAAAATGTAGAGTAAATCCCAGCTTCTTTGCTCCTGCCCACAAGTACGTCAGAGCCGGGGTTTATATCCACACATGGCCAAACAAAGAAAATCCCACTCTCCATCCAAACACACAAAGCCAGACGGTTTCTTTGATCATCCTATTCTTTTGTCAGGTTTGGTCCAATAAACACCCTCTAATGTGAAAGGGGAGTCATTACCACCTGACCCATTGGAGTCTCATGAAAAGAAGAGGCCACATGTGTGCGTAATGGTTTCGGCATCTTTGATCCGCTCCCCTTCCTATAAATGTAACCACTTTTCAGGATAGCAGCTGGTGTAGAAGCACTTTCTTTTCTTCCATTTCCTCTCCCCCATCTGGCTCTCTGTCTGCCACTTATTTTGGTGTGGGGATAGAACCACCCTGTGCACTTTCTTTTTCAGAACAGATAAGGAACAGGGTTGAGGATAATAGAGAGATGTCACTAAGGGATGTATCCAACAGTGTCCCATTAGCCATTATGGCAGAGTGGGACATCCTTGCTTTGGTGTGTATTAACAATATATTCTTCCATCACCCACCACTGCTCTCTGTTGAAGGCCTCACATTAAAAGCAGAGACATGAGCGAGTGATACCAGCGTATTTATATGATTTTTCCAAAACGGCCAATAAAATATGGAACTGCAAAGAGGTTTGTCTTAAACCATCTGTTTTAGCATTTTAGACTTTGTTACCAGTGTCAAAGAGCAGAATCCCATTTAGAAACAATAAAGGCCTCTAGCTCACTTTACATGAGTCACCAAACTAAGTAAGCTTTCAAGCGTAAGTTGCCCAGAGGGCAGAGTATTTGTCATGTAAGCAGTTCTGATGTCCAAATCCACAAATGGACTCAAGCAGGGATCAAAACCCCACCCTACCTTTTTGACAAGCCTCTAGAAAAAGGTAGCGACTGATGGCAGTTTAGATGTTCTAGGGTTAAAACTCTGCACCAATAGCTGGCCTTAGTTAGTCATATGTGTACTACATCACACATCACAGGCCTGGAGCCAGACATGGAATGAGGAGGCTGTGGATGGTGTTCATTACATACCCATGAAAGGTCACTTGTTCCTGGGTGTCGGAGCCAAAGTCCCAAACCTTTGAGGGTGAAAAGGGATAGTATATGATTGTGTAAGACCTAGGGGTCAAATTTTCACCTCTGTGTATGTGACAGAGAGAGAGAGACAGAGATAGATGGGGGTGAGAGCTCTGACATTAACAAGTTACCATGTGAAAAGCCAGAAGCAGTGCTGGTGTTGGAGGGAAGGTCATGTACCTAGTGCTGCTGAGGGTTCAATCTGCATGACACAGAGGTGGACATACAGAGAGAGACACACATACATACACACACTGAATACCAATTTCATGTTAGACATTCAACCTAATGCAAGTGGCTTGGCAATCCATAATTCATGCACTGGTCAAAAGAAGAATGGGAAATATCAGTAAGCATTGGTTGATTTTTTTGTCTTCATTTTCCTTTCTCCCAGTAAATTTCTTTCATGCACTTCTCCACTGCCTTATAAGTCTCAATATTTACTTTTGGTTGAGCTCCTGAGCACTTGAATCCTAAGCCAACAGTTTTCACAGGGGAAGAAATACTCCCATCTGAGGATGAACTAAAGTTCTTATCCTCCTCCAAAAAGGCAGAAATACCATTATTGATGCACATAAAGGTCAAGAGGAGCTTATTGATTGTTGGAGAGGGACTGTGAAATTCAGAGCCCCCCATTTTAGTACCCAGTTATTTCCACCCTCAGCAGAAGATATCTCTCACAGGATGTCTGCTATAAATGCATCCAGATTGTACTAGGTCTTTACTATATATTATACAATATACGATACATTATAATGGATGTTGGCTGAAAGGCAAGAGATTAGTGCTTGCCATATGATAATAAAAGGAAAGAAAGATTGTAGAAGCACTTATGTGGGGGTTGCATAATATCTCATCCGGACCTGAGAGCTTTAAAATGGTATTAAGTCTGCACGAGTAGTTGTGTCTAAATGTATTTCACATCAGCCTTCAATATTCTATTGCTGATGTGGGCAGAACTGTAAATTGATGAGCAGCCAAAATAATAAGTCAATCTGATTTAAATAGATTTTCACAGCATGGATTTGTATAATAGCAATGGTGAGGAAAACATCACCTTAACCAGGTCAGTGTAATGTTAACGATACCTATCAATAGATGGATGATGTAATTAACCTTTGAAAGTAATAAATGCAACTCGATTTTATATTCTTGAAAGGATACAGTGACACTATTGTGTCTTTTGTCACTGCACACACACTTTTGTTTGAACGTGTTTCACCTAATTATACACAACGGTTGATCTCTGCAGTCTTTGTCAGTACTCAAATTATCTCCAAACCCCTGCTCCGTGATGGTTGCATAGTAACTAATGAGTGTGTAGAGGTAGTGTGTGAAAATTCACAGACTGAAACACGTTCACATTGTAGGGGGAAAAAAATTTTTAAAAGTGGTATACTCAATTAAAATACATGAAAAAACACTGACGACTCCATTTTTTGTTCTTTTGAAAAATGTAAACCATCTTTAAAACTCATAACAAGCTAATTGGCAAATGGGCATTGACTTTAGTCCCCATATGTAATTGGTTGGTAACAAAGTATTTAGTAGACAACTACTGTTTAATATGTTATTGTAACATTGATCCAATGATGTGTTGTTGGTTGGTTTGGATATTGTGCAGCATAAAGAGAAGCTGCAAACAAAACTGAGCACAAGAATGCTGTTTACGTTGAAATGCAACGGTTAATCATACAAATAAAATTATGGAATTGGCTGGAAAGGGTACAGTACTCAAAACTACTGCATTAAAAGTTACCAAAGGCCTTTGGATTGACTCTTGCAGTGTGCGCTCTTTATCCACAGTCTATATTAAGCCTGCTACAGAAGATATAGAGCAGACATGGACATACTTGCATTTTCTCTCTTTGTCGCCCCTGTACATACACACATTTGTAAATCCTAACCCCCCAACAGTCTACAGTCATGTTTCCTCATGAACTGATATGTTAACGTGGCCAGCAGGAAAGTAGCTGTTCCAATTACGTAAGAGACAGAGCAGGGGCAAACTCTACTAGACTTCAGCAAAGATCTGGCTTGGTGATGCAATGGAGAGAGCTAGAGTGAATATAATGTATGAAGGAAGCAAGGCTCTAACCATAACAACATTGATTTAGTTTTTACCGTTTAGGATAGATGATACATCAGTCTGATTTAAAATACAACCTAGACTCATCTCTGGGCTCCTGTTGCAAAAGCTTGAATAGGATTTGAGATATATTACAGGATACCAGCTGACGTATGGTGCAGTGCACTAGAGAGGGGACCTCAGGGC